CCATGAGCCAACTCATGCGAAAAATGTTTCCGAAACGGATCTGGGACACCTGAATTCTGTTCAAATTCTCAGTAGATTAAATGGACTCAGTCATTATTAGGTGTGAGAAATGGAGGGATATTTAGACTAGATTGCTGAAAAAAGCAGGCGACTAGTGAATTCTACCTAAATAAGCTATCTTCTACTTAATTAATCTGTGCATTAAAAAACAATTGCTTGGAGATGGGAAATCAATCCATCAAAAATTTGTCAAACAGTACAACTGTAAGGAATTAGCTCCCATTGCCCCTGAATCTGATTGTACTGTCTATGAAAGTGCCATTTCTGGAAGTATTAAAAAACTTTCTAGCTCAGAGAAAACAAACTGAAATTACCAAATCTACTACTGCAAAAAAAAGATAAAGAAAAATGTTTACCAGTTACTACGGGAATCTAAATCACTCCAAATTCTCAGCCATCTCTTTTGCTCTGCCAATAAATTCTCCAATGAGTGACAACTCAACATGAAATCCCCTCTGATTCCCCAACATTAGCTGCTACAATATCAACTGACTCTCAACAACTCTCACTAGTGAAAGTCACTCAGAAGCAGACAGCTCAAAAGCCTACAAGAAAACTACCTCCATTTCTCCACAAAGTTAAACAATTCAAAAAGTGAATCAGCAAACCTTATGATCAACCAACTTAAATGAACCTTCCAATTTTCATAATCATCTTAGAAAATACGACTCGTTAAAGAATAATTTATGAATTCTAATAAATCAATAATGACGACACCCCAGTCGGAAGATACGAGTTCGGACATCTGCAGGCAACTTGCAATGACCAATCACGTTGCCTGAAAAGTTCTATGCCTTAGCTCTTTTTCCAATGTGAAAAGGAAAAATAAACGCTACCCAAATGCTGCATACTCCAGAGGAGAGGAAATGAACATTAGGGTGATCTTCGACTCGGGAGTAAACGTGGCCTAGATAACACCTTGATGTTCCAAGCCGTCATCCTCACCAACACTTCCTAACGTCAAGTCTCAGTCTCCTAAGGGCAGAGTCACTAGATGAAGAACTTGGATGCCCGCTGCCGTGAGCAATACACCATATCAAGCAAAATCAAATGCTGCTACAATTGTGCATCCCTCATTAAATGAATTTCACGAGATATGAATGTAACTAAAAGATTTAAAAGCACTCGGGATTTAGTTTTGCTTAGAAAACATCGCCTCATCTTTTCTAAATGCTTTCTTTTGGACAATAATGTGGACATTTGAACAGCGCTCTTTCCTTCATCAGTGCTGAGTAACATTTTTGNTAAAATTTCACCCTGTTCTTATTAATATTTCTAATGTATTCTGAGAATTTTTAGTAAATATTTGAAAGCTGAAGTTAGGGGGTTGGCTTGTAATTGTTTCCCTGACTTTGAAAAATTTCAGGAGGACATGGCTGAAAGAAATACTTCTCCTTTTGTCAAGCATCACCGATAATCAGTAAATATCCCAAAAGGTACAAACAAAGCATAAAAATACATAAAATAATAGTTAAAAACAGAGTACCTAATCATAAAAAATTAAAAAGAAAAGCATAAAAAGGACAATTAGATAGGTATATAATTTTTTAATCTTCTAATTATTAATTCTGGAAATCCACCACACACAATGTGCTTTTAACATATGTGCAACCATTACTAGATCTACCATTACTACAAGAGAAAGAGTAAATTTTTATTTTCAAGCGTAGCATGCCTTATTTTTTTTACGTTAGCTTACATTCAAGTTTTAAATTTTGGGAGAATCCTCAAATAAAAAGCAGACTCTTCAGCTTATACATGGAAGGGCTTGTATTCAGAAATATACTGTAATGTTTCTAAACAGTTTCATGCAGTTGTTTCACAAAGTATTAATTTCTTTTTTTTATTTATTAATAGGGTTACTGGATCAAAAGGGTTGAATAACTATGATTTACTTATACAGTAAAACCATTTTCCTTGAGGCCATTTATTGTGAATGATAAATACAGGAAAATGATTAATGTGGGTGAGTATCAAATAATAACTAAAATTTATGAAAAGTAATAAAGAAGTAATAGACTTCATAATTGAAGAAAATTATGTTAATTTTCTGTTAGTTTGAGTGAATACAGAAAGTTCCTTATTGTTTCAAAGGCGTTGAGACTTTTCACAAATGTTGTTGCTGGTTGTGGTTCTGTTTTATCATCTTCCACGTCACATACTTTGTTCAACTTCTGCAACCGTTTTTTAAGCAGACAACACCAGGAGTCTCAACATTTTCTTCAACTGATGCATAATATTTTTTGATATTTATTGATGCATAATATTTTATTAATATTTCAGCCTAATTGTAACAAATCATTATCATCATGAGATAGTTTTTTTTTCTAAAGCTTTTCTGAAAGCTTTTTCACACCCATTCAAAGAAATCTGCGAATTATTTTTTCTCAGCAAATCAACCAATCACAAATTTTTTTACAATCACACATTTTCAGCAATGTTTGTCGACAAAGCGTTACAATTGTTGCATTAATGCTAATTTTTTCTATTTCATTTTAACCTTTTATAACATATTTTAATTTTAAAAAAAAGAGTTTTTTTTTAACTACCAACTATATATTAATATTTAATTTTACTCTTTTGTTGGTCAATATATGACTTTTGATTCAAAATTTTGTACCAGAACATTAAAAAATAAATAAAAAATCTTGCCAAATTGTCAAAATAAATTATTTTTTTCAAGATGATATGTTAAAAAAATAGGCATCTTTCTTGTACACATCCTACACTTAATAAGAAGAAAGAAACAAAAACCTGGAAATTTTAAGATTTTTATCTGGAAAACCTGGAGAAATCAGCGATATTTGAAATCTGATTTGAGTGGCCACCTTGTTATTGCCATATTTTAAGTTACAAAATAAGACACAAAAAATTTTTTTCTCTAAATAAACGTGCCTTTTTCCCCCCACCTTGAATTCTTGACCCTCAAAATATGAAATGGGGGTAGCCACAATCTTAAAAGTTAGATCCAAGGAGTTTGGTTAAAAGAGGGTTCGAAATTTTAGCCATAACGTCATTCCAGAGAAAAAACCTTTTCGTCCTAAATTCTTTCCTTTCCATTACTAATTTAAAAGATAGAAAGAATGTGCTCTGGGAAATCGATCTGCTCTGGGATCTTTGTATAAAAGTTAAAAATATCAAAATTTTAGGGTTCGAAATTTTAGCCATAACGTCATTCCAGAGAAAAAAACTTTTCGCCCTAAATTCTTTCCTTTCCATTACTAATTAAATTTTTACATTTTAATGAATGTAATAGCGAAACTGGAATGAAATTGGTCGAATGATTCTTAAGAATTACTCTAAACTATGTCATGAATGAGTATTACTCTAAACTCATTCTAGAAATCAGGGTTGGGGATACTTTTTTTGGTAATAAAATATAATCTAGTTATTCTATTTAAATCCATACTTTTTATTTAAATTAATTTTTTTTTAAAAATTGAAAACTTTCATTTTATTAGTAGTTAAATTTTAAAAGAAGTAATTATAGATAAAATGTTATAAATAAATCATAATTCTATATTGAAACTAATACTGCGTTAAAAAACTGATTTAATTCATTGTAAATGCGAACGTGTAAAAATCATTAAATATGGATTTAAAATGTATCACACTTTTTAATATTTTTTTTAACTAACATTAAAGTTATGACAATTATATCTAATTTGCAGAGTTATAAATATTTCAATGTGGAATAACTTGCTCACTTAAAGGCAGGCAATAAGATAAAAACAATGTGAAACACCTACTTTGTCATAATAGGATTATTTCTTTTTAAAAATTCATTTTAATATATTTGCAATAAATTGTGAAGATGGTCTTTTAGAACTAGGAATAAATTGTATGTTCCTTAATATCATGTTTATTGAAAAAAATAGTCCATATTAAATAACTATTCTTTACAGATGATGTATGTGTAAAGACATTAAATTTCCACTTTCTTTATTTGTATTCTGAAAAATCCAAATGAATTATAAGATTTTTTAAATGACATGCTTACTGATTAAAATTTATTAACACAGCAATAAACTTATAATAAAATACATTTAAAAAATAATAATCAATTTAAAAAACATTGTAGCGATTACGTGTGTCATTATTTTTGAAAGTGGTATAAGGTTTTTAAGTATTAAAGTTTGAATAACTTTAAAAGTATTGGAAAGATTAATCAATTTGGGTGATTTTTTTAACACTATAATTTGATGAAACGTCAGATAACAACAACGTGCACTTTTTTATAAGAGATAAAAAATTTCAATTAATCAAGTAAATTTATCATGAACTGCTTTCACCAAATATTTTTCTTTGGAAGAAAGAAGTTTTGGGGGTTATTGATAATATTTAGGTGAAAATAAGAACCGTGCTGATTATAGTAATTTAATTATAGTAATTTAATTATAGTAATTAATTATAGTAATTTATAGTAAAAATTTAAATTTTGTACACTTTTGAAATGTTATAATAAAATACTTGAATAAATGTATGCAACTATTAAATAGTTTTATGTTTTTTATTTCTGTATTAAGTATGTAATAGTTTTTAAGATGCTAACAAAGATTTTAATTTAAATATTAAAACTTACAGTTTTCAGTATCTGAAATTTTTAATGTTACAAGATTTTTAGTATCTTACATTGAGTTTGTGATTGTGAGGTTTAACCACATATTTATTCCAGGGTTGGCTTTTTGCCGCAGAAACTGGTTTTTGGCATGTCAGTGGCAGAAACTGGTTTTAACCGGTTAAAACCGGCAGAAACTAAAAAAACTTCTATGTTAGTTCTAGTAATTGCTTAATGACATTTTGTTTAAGTAAACTGAAAAATGTAATTTCGTGCAACTGTAACAAACTTTTTAATTCATTACTTGTAAATATATATTATTTCGTTTATATTAAATATAAAGAGTGCAGTATATCAAATTGAGAAAAGAAATTGTTTAGGTTCAGACACTGCATCAAAACTTGTCTTTTGTTATAGATTACTGCTAAGTGCAAACAATGTAATATTTGATCTTGAATGGTGATAATTTTATAAAAAAATTGAACTTTGTTTAACATTTAATTGTTTTTTTATGAATTATCCTTTGTATGTCAATCTCAGTATTTACTTTTATGTCATTTTCTGAATTTCTGCCACAAATGTGGCAGAAAGGGGTTTCTGACATGCCAGTTTTAACCGGTTTCTACCAGTGGTTTTAACCACCTCGGCAGAAGCTTGCCGGCCTTGATTTATTCCAATATTAATGCATTACAAAAACATGTATTCAACATTTTTTAAAAACATTTTATATGGTATTTTCAGGTGGTACCTTGAGAATATTTGGAGAAGCTTTAAATAAAGATGTGCATTACAAAACACTTTCTACAAAAGATACTGCATCCTATGTGGTAAAAGATATATTAAATAAATATGGATACGATAAAGATTTTATGCATTGTCTTGTACAAACTATAGTATCACATCATACAAATGATGGTCCTGATCTTCAAAATGGCGGTATCAGAGAATATATATTGGATGATGATGATTGTCCTCTGATGATTCAGCAGCAGCATAATCGGAATAAAGGTAAAAACAAACTGTTAATGAATTTCTGGTTGATTCAAAATTCTGGTTTGATACTTACGTTTTGACAAAAAAAAGTAGAAAAAAAAGCTCATTGATATTCTAAGAACAATTGACATCATTCCTTTGTAGACATTTTTATAAATTATAGAATATCGAACAACTGCATGTAAAGAGTCCAAATAGAGCAGTCGATTGAGACTGACAATCATTTGAGTATTGTAACCAGGGCTCGAAAAAACTCAGAAATGTTACCCGTCCCCGAGGACGGCTTGTCCAACAATGTACCCGTCCTCCTTTGAAACTAACCCGTAGCTTCTAAATAAATAAAAATATAATTTTCTCTTATTTATTACAAACATTTATATAAATTGCACAATGAATTAGTAGTTACTAGGATTACATTATACAGTAATAAAAGAAATACTAGGTTACTAATAGTAAAACCTAGTATTTCTTTTATGAAATAATTTATTTCTTTTATGAAATAATTTAAATGACAAAGGTCAAGTTATCTGGAATGTCAATTTATCCGAGGGTACTGCGTTTTTTAAATGAATCAAATATGACGTTTGCCAGTTCCACAATCAAGCCAATGATTTACAGAGGTTTCTGCACAGAAATCTGAAAGGGGTTTTCCATTTAGGTAGATGTTCATAATTGCGTTTAACGCTTCTTGTTTAAGACCAGTACGTAATGTGTTTTTTTGTAAGTTCATTGCTGAAAAGCCCCTTTCAAATGCTGCAGTACTCCCAGACAGAGAAAATATCAATTCCATTTCAGGGTCATTTTAGAAGTGAAGAGCTAGACTCATGTAAGATAACAAAAATTGAAAATGTATCACGAACATTAACGGGAAAATGGCCGTTCGCGCGGACGTCGGATTCGAGAAATTCGTTGACCGCCGAGGACGGGCTGTTTTTCGAGCCCTGATTGTAGCGAGTACCATGATCAAAATTAAAATATTGATAGTATTTTCTTCATTGATAATGGTGTTTGTTAAAATACTGAAAACATCGCTTTTCATACTTATTTGATCTTTTCTTTTACTTTTGTTTACTTCTTTTGAAATTGTTTTGCTTAAAAAAAAATATTAGAATTATTTATTTTATCTGTAAGAAGACTTTTTTGTTGCTTGTTCTTTTTATAAGTATGTATAGATGTCTGTTTTATTCAGTATAGTGTAAAAAGTGGATGATTGAAAGACTGTTTTATCTAAACTAATGTTAATCAAAATATGCTATTAATTCAAATGTTATAATAAATTGCTTGTTGTAATCAATCGAGAGTAAAGTTTGCTGTAATTGATAGAAAATATTGTAATCAATAGAAAGACTTGGCAACAGTTACGAAATTATTAGTATTTTGCAATCAAAGGTCTTGGCATGATTTAGTTATGAAAATCTTAATTCTTAGTTGTGTTTTAATTATTATTTTTGTTATCATTTATTTATCTTTTTGTAAGAATCAATAGTATATCTTTTATTTAAAATTATTTATGAGTGGCAAGTTTAAACATAACAAATAATTAATATAAATTTGGATAATCTTTTTTTCTTTTATTCTATACAAAAATAATTATAAATGATGTTTTTAAAACTAGTATTAAGTTATGAAAAATTTTTGTGGTTCATATAAAAATGAATGGTTTTGTGTCTGAAAGATTTTATGGAAATGATAGTTCATAAATTTATTTATTTTGTTTTCTAACTGTTATTTTCCTTTCTGCCTGGAAGGTTGAAAACATAACTAATGACAAACTTTTTGTATAATCTGTTTTTTCCCCCTGTAAATAGTTGTAAAAAAATGTTTAGGTTACAAAATTTTTGCAGTTTAATAAAGTATGGTATACATCGTGAATACTTCTTGGCATAATTTAATTTGACAAAGAAAACATATTTTTATTTGCTTTTTTAACTACTAAGTATGGTTTTTGTTTAAATTTTTTTTTATTTTTAACAAACATAATGAATAATATACTTTATTTATATTTAATTTAAATATAAAATTTTTTGAAGCTTGTAGAAAATTGGTAGCCATATGTGAAAAGGAAACTTTACGTTCTGTTGTTAACTCAATTATTAAATGCTTTTATTTTTGTAGGTGCCTTATCATTTAATGTTCGAAAACGACCTGCTGATTACCAGTCTAGAAAAAGGAAAAAAAAAAGTCTAAGCCAACTAAAAATGATGGCAGGATGATACAATTGAAAAACTACCCTACCTCCTTGAATTGAATTCTGGTACTTATATCAAAAAATAATATCCTAATTTAAGGTTTTTTTTTCTAATGAAAGAAATTGATGTAGATCCTTATTCCTTAACATTATAATTGTTTTTTGTGAAAATATTAACTAAATAAATAAAAATACTAAAATTTTTGCCTTTTTGTTAAAAATCTAAGCTTTTTTTAAATTAATTTGTTGACATGATTACAGATGGTAGTAATGGACATGGGCCTCCGAAGAAGCACAGACTTTACCTTAATGTTACTGAAGTTGGTAGTGAAAGAAGTAGCTCTATCGGGGACAATACTTGCAGGTAAAAAAAAATTATCGATGAACTTGTGCATTTTTTAAATATTAATTAAATTTTGTAAAAGAATGAACAAAATAGGTTGGAAATGTAAAATTTCATTTAATTGTATAATTTATTGATTTTTACTATGGATAATTTATGTGTATATAACATGAAATATTTTTAAATTACTCAGTTGACATTGCTATTTTACTCACATTATTCAATAATTTTTATTCTTCATAATAATTCATAACTCTTAACTGTTTTTAAGAAGTTTTTAAAGCATTTAAATAGAAATAAATATATATTAAAATTTGCATGTGTGTGTATTATATATATGCATACATGCATGCATATATATATATATATGTATATATAAGCAGGGTTATTCATAATTCCCTCTGGGGTTTCGAAGCGTTATAGTAAAAAAACGAAGACGAATATGGCAAAAAAGAACATTCGAAATTATTCCGAAAGTATTCAAGTTTTAATTTAAGCTGTTGCCGGTAGATGGCAGTAACATGTACCACTGAAGCCAGTTGTNTTAAAATCGATATATATTTATATATATATATATATATGCGCATAATATAACACTTAACAGTGCAAACTAGTAGAAATCAATGCATTTCTATAATCCAGGAGTGAATCATAAAATGCCTCTTAAAATCCGCTACTATCTGTAATACATAATAAGTTGAATAGATAGAGTTAATTATTAATAAAGATACCCATAGAACATTTTTAATTATTCAAGTCCTATTGCAGAACATAAGTTCTTATTCTACTGATGTTAACATTTGAATTTATAGTTGAAGTTAGTAATATAAATTGTTTATATAAATGCTTATTCAAGTTTTCCAGGGTTAGTAGTTGGGTGCCTACAGAATGTTATTTTCAACAAATACTAATGTGGATTTTATAATAATTGATTTGAAAAATCAGATATTGATCCAGCATGTTTTTATTTAATTTCATAATGTTTAAAAAATAGCAAAATTCGATAGTTCAAATTAAGGAATTGCCTACTAATTGCTTTCATACTTTAGACAAATAGCTTTCTCCTCATAGCTTTTTAAATTGTAATGGAATTATGTGATTTTATAGAAAAGATAACTTAATTAACTATTTTATATTATGAAATTTTTATGGTAATGACTTAAATGTTATAACACTCATATATTATTCTCAACAAATGCAGTAACAAATTCAGCAGAGTTGAATTTTGTAGTTTCAGAGTTATTGATTTATGTAATTCATGTAATTTTAAATCAGCAATCAATTCCAATCAGCTATGCAGTAATTATATCGTAGAATTTATAAAAATTGAGGCATCATCTACTAAATTTTATTTATAAAAAATATTAACTGGCATATTTACTGTGCTTTTGTTTCGTGATTATTAAAATCCTTCATAAAATTATTTTTATTATCGAGGTTTTAAACTCAATTACAAATTTTAATTTAATATTGGTATGAGCAAATATTACTAGGATGAGATTTTTCCGCTTTCTAGCGGATTTTTGGCTTTTGTCTCTCGAGTTTCTGCCTCTTTTATAATTTTTTTTTATGGAAAACTCCGATTTTTCTCTAAATGTTTCACTTTTTTTAATAAATATTCCGCTATTTCTGAAAATTCAGCTCTTGAAATAACAATCATATTTATTTTCCGATTTTCAAAGATGAACAGAAATTCAAACTACTTTAAGACACTAAAATAGCGATTTTTGTATGTTAAGAAGCTATTAAATGTTTCTACTTCACAATTATTGATATGTTTCGCAGAGCTTTATCTAAATTAGATAATAATATGAACATAATGATTCCAATTTTCTTTTCTTTTCTAAATAAATAAAAAAATTATGTTACTGATATTTTTTCTATAAATCGCATATTAGTATTTATTAAAAGAACTTGAAGGTTTCAGTAGTGCTGAACTAGGCAGAATTCTCAAGTAATAATTGTCTCCTTTGTGTGAACTGAAGAAAATCAACTTATCTTTCAATAGGTTATTTTACTGAGTGTCAATGTAATTCATATATTAAGAAATTATTATGCAATTAATTATGTATTGACACATAGTTATTTATTATCTTAAATTGTCTAAAATGTATAATTAAACGATTGCAGGCGTGTATGATTTACTCGCGTGGAAATTCAGCTTTTTTCTCTTTAAGACAACCTCATCCCTGATATTAGCTAATTGACTCCAGTTATTTATTTAAGGCAACATTACTATAAATATTTTCTACACATATTGATCTCAAACTATTGCTCACTGCACCATTAATAAATTTGTAAAAATAAATAAATGTATAACTGTTAAAAAGTTCTGTTTGCAAAGTAATTCTGAAATTAAAAGTAATATATTTTGCTATTCTTGTGGATTGAAATTTGCTTTAATAATACTTTTTTTTTATTTGTCCTTTGCCTTTTTCTAAAACAGTATATGTCTACTGCTCAAAAAAATGTCTTGATCTTATCCTGATTTATTTGAAACATTTTGTCCTTATCCTTAACCCATTATGATGCCTGAGTATTCCTTTTTATAAAACCCTCAATAATCTATATATATTAATATCATTTAAAACTTAAATCTATTTTGTATTTTATTTTTAAAATTTTCTTTTCTTTTACTGTTATACTGTTTAATAAATTATTAAGACTTTTATTAATTATTAAGACATTTATTATCCAGGAAATTTCTATTTATTGAAACATTCAGGATATCAAGTAATATTTATGATTTTATGAAAAACACCATACTGTAAACAGCTTAATGCTTTACTTTTTAATATTATTTTAAAATTTTCTATTTATAAACTATATTTTCTACTTATATTTTAAATTTTTATAACCAAGTTGTTCTATTTATTGTTCTAATATTTTAATTCCTATATTTTGAAAAATGTTGATTTTGTGATATTATGCTGATATCACTTTTTATAAACACATGTTTTCTAAACAATTAACTATCTTTTTTAATTGAATTGTGCTTATTCTGATCTATGATTTTCTATTTATTTACTTAAATCTTCTATTATTTATTATACTTATAGCTGTTTGGTCCAAATGTCTAACCTCGCCACTGTGTGATTGCTCATACACAGAGAATAGTTACAGTTACTCCTAGCAGTAGAGATGAAGAAACTTATGTGAATGGTATGAGAGTATGTGAAACAACTATATTACAGAATGGAATGGTTGTACGGTTTGGAAAACTGCATACTTTTCGATTTGTTGACCCACTTCATGACCAGGTAATTAAGGATGTTTTCAACAAAGTTTCGATCAAAATAAGTCATTTTCAGATCATTTTACTTCACTACATTCAGTTGCATATGTTTATTGGTAACATATTTATTTCTGTTTTCTAGAAACATGTTACCGGACCCTCGACAGCATCCTGAATTTATAGAAAGGTAATATTATCCTTAAATGTATTTTAACTTTAGTTAAGTAAGATATTTATTAGGTTGGTTTTATAGATATTTAAAAAAACTATATGGATTAATAATTATTTAACCTTCCAAGTGTTGAAGCGTTATACTTCTCTACTATGCCTCTTTTACTTCCTAAAAAACATTTTTTTTTGTTGGAGAGCCTTTCGCTTAAAGTACAGAGTAAGGACTAGATTGTTAATTTATTAACTTTTTTAATTCATTTCAATTTACTTTAACGCATAATTAAATGTTAATTGCACATACTTTCTCTGTGTAGTAAAAGCTCTATTATTTGTTAGTTAAAAAAGTAAGTATTAAAGTTGAAAACTATTTCTGGGGAATCTGTTTCAATTTTGTTGTTGATTGAGAAAGTATTTTAGTTAAAGCTGGTGTGTTTCATGTAAAGATGATCTGCTAAAAGATACTAAAACTGGATTGTTTATATTGATTTATTGACTCTGTATCTTGAAAATTAGTCAAAAGTTAATTGTTTATAATTAAAGCTTTTTCAATGACAAAGAATGCAGGAAGTAAATTTAACTTAGTAATTTGTATAAATAATTAATAAATCATGTTACATATTACAAAGAGTGATGCCAGATCTAAAAAATGCTCACATCTCTGTTTTAATCGATTAAATTGTAAAGCTGCTTAAAGTGTAACTAAATATTAAGTCGCAGTAGTATATGTTGCAAATATATGTAAGTATATGTTGCAGTTGTTTATTCCTAAATTATTTGGGTATAGATTTTTTAATGTAAGCTATATTTTTGTCACATTGTAAAATGAAGTTTATTTGTTTTGTATGCCTGTGAGTTCCCTCTGTTAATATTTAAATAATATACTATACAATAGGAACAGAACTATACAGATACAAATACTATACTATAGGAATTTTTGTATCAAGTTGATTTAATGCACAAAAACTCTATCTACACCCTAAATTAAATGTTTTTGATAAAATTTAGTCATATTTGCTATTAATTTTATATTTTTTGTAACATGCATTGTTTGTGTTAACGAGGAGAGTAATAGGTAGTTTTGATTAAGTTTGTATTTTTGTTTAATTATTTGAGGTCTTTTGAAAGAGGATCCCAGTTTTTTAAATACAATTCTAGGTAGCAAAAAATATAGTTGCTAACTGCTATAAAAAAAGGTTTTTAAATTATGAATTAAATCAGTTAACACAAAAGTAGAAAACTAGAGCAAAAAAAATCAAAAATAATGTATATATATTTTCTTATATTTAAAATTCAAGTTATCCCAACTCTGCTAATATGTAGTTTAGTTGTAAGATTATGCTCATTTCTTAATAGCGAAGTTACTCATACTTTTACTAATTCACCATGTAAAAATTTGATTCACTATGTTATCTGATCTCGTTAATTTTGGATCACTTAAAAAAATTAGTTGGCAGTATTTTTTGGATGTCTGTAGTTGTCGTGTTACTTGTTGACAAGTTGTTGTAATTAATTGTTGACAAAATCAGATGGGATATTTCACTATTCAACATTGTATATAATAATTGAAAGAAAATTTAATCTTAAACTACTTAAATATTTTAATTAATGTTTTTCTTTTAAAATTTTTAGGTGAAGAAGCTTTTCTAGCTACATCAATTACTCAGCTAGATCCTAGTCAAGTGCTGTCACCAACATATGCTCTGTCTATGGCTGCTCGATATCGTGCCTCTACACATTTTAGGCCCGAAACTACCCCCAAATGATCGTGCTCATAGGCTGACAGCTTTGATGAACAATGTAGCAGCTGTAATGCATCAAGTTATACAGGTAATAAATTTTATTAGTTTATTGAATATTTAAGTCAAGTGTTTGTAAATCAGTGATTGGCGGACATAATATACAAGAGCATGCACGAAAAATGTATGATTGGAATACGACAAAAAGTTTGGTAATTCGATATAGTTATTCGATAAAAGTTTGGTAATTCGTTTGGTGATAATTTTTAAGTTATATAACTAGTTTTATAACTTAAAACTGCTAAAGAAAGATGTGTTGGTACATATAATAATCGATGTAAAGTTTTATAAAAATTAAAACATGTAAAAAAAATCAGCAATTTTTGAACAAATTTTGTCAGAATTAGGTTAGGATGAAAGATAGTTACAAGGATCAATAGATTGCTTGCAGATAGTTTATTTAGGAGATTTTGTGTTTACAGATTTCATTTTACCTAAGTCTGGTGATTTGATTCAGCTCTTATATTTAGACAAATTTTTATAATGTGAAAAATTTCTAGAATTTTTTGAATAGTTTAAAAATTTTCTCATGCAGTTAAGCCCATTAAATATTAACTTTTTGGTTCTTAAAATTTAGTTTTCCTTCAATCATCAATAAGTTATGTATTTCAGTTGAAATTTTATTTGTCATTGTCAATTAGCATTTTTTTTAGATTTATGTATCTGAATCTGTGTAAACTAAAAAAAAGAAAGCGAATTTTAATATTTCTTTAATAACGCTACTACTTATTCAATGTTAATTAGCTGAAAACAATACCGTATACTACTAATTTTAGGTATGCAAAGCTGAAAATTTTTGTGGATTTTTTTCAAGTTTTTAGTTGAATGCTTTGAAATTTTAGAAATTACTGAGGTATTGTAATTAATTGTACAAAAATTTCACGAAATTAAATTTAAAATTTTTAAAACAAATTTTCTTAAATTTCATTATATTCTATGTGAATAAAAAAGTTACATTTGTTTAGCTTCTTAGCAGTTTTTACAGCTAGTAAAGTATAAAATTTTGTATATATTATAATTTTTATCCTCTTGTGTTGCCTTTAATATTAAAATAAATTCATAATTTTTCTTTTTAATTATGCATAAAATATATGCACGAACATTTTTACCAGTTTTTGTATGGTTTGAACTATATCCTTTTTTTATATTATTTTTCAATCATTATTTAGAGGATAATTAGTTTTCATTAATCTCTTTTTATTAGGATCGATATCGAGATGCAACTGCCCTGGTTTTTTGGCTTGCTAATACTTCGGAATTGCTTCATTTTCTGAGACAAGATCGCCATTTAAGTGCATATACTCTTGATGCCCAAGATTTACTAGCAGAAAGTGTTCAGCTTGCTTTTCGAAGTCTTGTAACGTGTCAACAAGTAGAACTTCAAGATGCAATGCCAGCTTTCCTTGAAGATCGTGATGATGTCAATGAAGAAGAGGGTACAACTGGTAAGCTTTTTTCTTTTACACTGCTTGACATTTGGCCGTTGGGCATACCATAGGAAAACTCTATAATTAGTGTGATCAACTGTTTTTCTGTGTTATATGAACATTTCAAAATAAGGAAGCGAATGATTTTACACCAACTTAGCCTCTAAATAAATTTATTCAGATATTTAATTTTACAAAAGTTAGTGTCTTTAGTAATTTATAAATGCTGATCAGAGTGGTAACCTTCTTCCGATTACTTAATGGGTTTGACAATTTTAGCACTCGTTTAAAGGGCCCTTCTTAACATTAGATATATTATTTGTATACCCTCTTTTTTGATATTTGAAGCATTATACTTGCATTTAATTTAATAAAATATGCACAAATAGGGTGTCCGAAAAATATAAAAGTGATCAATGTCACAAGTCTAAAAAGAAGTATCAAATATTTTAGAAAAAATGTATTCAATGATACTATTTTGCGGTGGAGCCAGGGAATGCAATTCTTTAATAGAAACCATTTTTTTTTGCAGATTCGGATTCACCAGAAAAAAATGCCTCAATTTCATCTACTGGTTTTCTCATTTTGGTTCATAGATGGTGTTGTAATTTTGAATTAAAATGAGTTTCAAATTATTTAAAAACATTTTTAAGAAATGCATATCAGATCAAATAAATATAGACATTTTTTAGTGTAAATTATATTGGTATTTTCTTAATACCGAATTCTATTCTCTCCCTACTTTCTGAATCTAGGCCACTCCCATGGAGTGAGATCAAATTTAATTTCCAATTTCTGATAAGATGCCTTTTTCTAGAGTTATTACACTGTTTCTATGCTTTTTAGACTTCCTGTTTATTTTATTACTAAATTTTGTTACCACTTTTTCAGTAATGAAATAAAATAAAGAATTTTTTTTTACCCAGCAATCAACCTTAGTTTAAATTTCTAAATTAATTCATGGAATTAGCTTTAAACTTTCTTATTGAATTTTTTCTAACTTTGTGCGTTATAATTATTGTATTACATCTGATTGAAATGCAATTTTATTTATAGCTGAGTTTTATATGAGGTGTCTGTTCTCAGCTGATGTTTTAGCTGTGTCTGTAACTTTTGAGGCGATGCCGTTTCAATGCAGTCATCCAGATGTTTTCACTTCATCAACTGTTCAATAAAGTTGTATGTGAAACCAGAAGGAACGAGACTTTGGGGTGCAAGACTAAAGAGAAGGTTGGGACGTGTGGAAGCATAGGCTGAGAAAAAAGGATTGCTGCTGATTGTCTTCTCAGTCGTATTGTGCAGGTAATTTTGTATTTTTTGTAATTGCACTTTTATAAATAAAAATAGCACTATTTTTTATCCTGCAGTGATTCTACTATATCAGGGGTGGCCAAGCTCTTTGATAGTCGAGCCATTTTTCAAAATTTGAAATTTTTCGCGAGCCACAATTAAAAACGTATTTAAAAGGTATGCAAAAAAAGGTGTTAAATTTTTTTTTACATAAATTATATTGAATGAAAACATATAAGTGAAAGTGCTAAATATGTGTATTTAATTTTCTTCTCTTAATAATTCTTTAAAATTTGGTTAATAATTGGTGATAGCACTTCTCAGTAATTCCTTGAGATGCTGGTTATTTAATACTGATCGGTGTTTGGATTTCACGAATTTTAAAGTAGAATAAAATGATTCACATAAGTACGTTGTTCCGAATATTGAAATAATTCGACAAGCAGCCTTTTTTTTTTCAGGATACTTCCATTCTGGTACAAATTTCCAAAATTCAGAAATCGACGTCGACTTATATTTTAAATGTAGAGCTTGATCTTCTTGCATCTCTATTAATTCTAATTCTCCAGATGCTTTTTGTGTCATAATTATATTGGAAATGGAAAACTCACCTTGAATTGAACAACGTTGCACTTAGTTTTTTATATTTGTTCTCAGTAATTTAAAAGACATTTTGAAACACATACGGAACGATAATAATTTTTTAAAATATAATAGCACAAAAATGAAAAGGGAACTCGGGTACATCTATCGATAGCCACAAGTAATCCTTCAAAGAGCCGCATGTGGCTTCGATCCGCAGGTACTATATGATAACTAACTGTACTATATGATAACTAAAATTTATCTAAAAAGTTATACTAAAATTTTAAAAATCTTTAAAACATTTTCTACGTATTCAAACATTTTAAACTAATTTATATGGAAAGGATTTCTATCTTGTTTCATTTTCCCACTACTGGCTGGTGGATTAATTGCATGCAATAATTTTTGAAATTTTTTTAAAGATTTTATATGGGATCTTTTTGGAAATAAGGAAAATTTTTAACTTTTCATCACTTCCATTAAAATCCACTTTCAGACAAAGTATCCCAGTTAATAGTCTATATCTATCTTTAGAATTTTGTGTTGAAGATAAGATGTTCCTTTTATGGTGTAAAAAATATTTTAAGATTAATTTTATATTAATAAAATCTTAATAATGCTGAGAAGTTATGTGAGAAAGAATTTAATTTTTCTTTACATTTTCTTATAAAATGTATGGTTTGCATTTAAAACCTTGAAACTTTTTAAAATTTAAATGTAAACTTATAGCTCAAAATAAAATAAAGCTCAAATTTATAGTTGAGTAAATTGATTTTTTGCCTAACGATATTTTTTAATAAAAATTTAGAATATGTAAACTGATGCTTGTTTTTTGTACCCAACATATTTTATGTTGATTATAATAGTGCTTAAATTTAAATGTGTTTTAGGCTGCTCATTTACTGCAAGCTCCAAAAAGTAATTCTGAAGACCTGGCTTCCATTAGTTCTCTTTGTTTTAAACTGAACTCACTGCAGTTACAAACACTCTTAGAACGCTATCTACCTTCAGATGATGAACCTCATATACCTCAGGAATTTATTGAAAGTGTTGTAAAGGTATGTGTTATCTATTTGTAGTAACCTGACAGAGTTCATTCACTGAATAGTTAAGTGTTATTAGATCCATGACTAACTTTATATTGTAAACTACTGTACCCAAAATTTCTTATAAATAATGTAATGAATAAACTTTCAAAGCAAAAAAGGAAGGGGAAAAAAGTGAATAATGCTCAACTGAAAGTTCTGAAATGGACATACTACAGTTTCAGTTCAAGAACCTTCCTCGGTGTCTGGATATGAAAATGATGGTAGCAAAGCAAAGAGACAAACACATGCTAAGTGTTTTAACCAATAGGGACAGAGGAACAAGTTTGAATAATATAATAAAAAATAAGAGATGAAAAAAGGCGTGAGGGATCAGAGGAGAGCTCTAGGGGACAAGAGATTAAATTAGAGTACACTTCCAAATATTGAAAAACAGTGGGATGCTAGAAAGGTCATTAAGTAAATTATTATAATTTTTCAAAGTATGGAAGGACAACCAAAAATTGAATTCGGTACATGAAGAGCACAGTGTTAAATGATTTTAGCAGAATAAAACTCAAACCTGTGATTAAAATTCCAACTATGTAGAGCAATGAAAGATCGATTGATGTCCTGACTTTGGTCATAGCTTTCTTTCTTTTTTAAATTGAAGTTTAAGGGTATGTTTGGTTTATCCAATATATGCAAGACTACAGTGATACCAAATTTGATAAATACACCAGCTTTTAATATCAGCTATAGGTTCTTTAAGGTTGGTGCAATTTAATTTATTTGCTGGGGAAAGAACTATTTTAAAACTGAAATTTATTCAAAATCATAGCAATTTGGGAACTGATTTTCAGATAATAAGGTAAAACAATCAAATTGTCAAAATCTGATTCGAAAGTTTGGTAGATATCAAATTTAATTTTTTATGGATGTAATCAATAATATTAGAAGGAAATCACTGTCTACAGCTATAGCTAGAGAGCTTTTTAGATAATAGTTTTTTTCATTTTAGGTTGCTGAAAATACTGCTGATGAACAAGTTAGAAGTGAAGGTAGAGATATTAAACTCGAAGAAGACTCTGATTTACAATTGCCTTTCTTGTTGCCTGAGGATGGTTATTCTTGTGATATTGTTCGAGGAGTTTCAGCTGGATTGCAAGAATTTTTACAACCACTTATTCTAGCAGGTAAAACAATTGCTTTATTATTGATGTAAAAATATTTTTTTTAATTTGCTATTTTATATTTATTTAAAATTGCTATACAAGTGAATATTGAAAATTAAATTTAAATATTTAAATGAAAACTGTTTTCTTTTGTGACTTAAAACTAAATTTTCAATAACATAATTAAAATCATTATTTATAGCTATAATATTTCCTTGGTAAATGAGTTTCTGATTTTTAAATAAAATTGAAAAAAAAAATTAAAAGATGTTTCAATTTGTCGTCAAAATCTTTTTCACTTTTAAATTGATTTTGAAAATTATGATTTAATAGTTGAAATTAATAACTTATGCAACTAATTCAACCTCCATTTTTTTGTATCAATATAAAGAATATTATATGTGTAAGTAAATTAAAAAAGAAAAAAATTTAAAGTGGTAAAATTGAGAACTGCTAAAATTCAATAATTCAGAATTAAGCATAGATTTTAATGTTATTTATTGTTTTATTACCTTTTTCAATATTCTGTTATGATCAGTTTTAAAAAAAATTTCGATCACATTTTGATGGAAATGTAGAGTAAATTTTGGTAGAATAGTTTTGAATAATTATCCATTATAAATCGAAACTAATAATTTTTACCTTAAGAAATAAATTGCTGTCATGAAAGTGTTCTCTCAGTTAGAATTTTTTAGAAGTCCTCATTTACCTAAAAACACAACTACAAATATTTCAAATTTTTAAAGCCTCAGTTAAACATTACACACTCAGTTTACTTTGATATATATGATTGTTAAGTAAAAACTATAATTCAGTTAATTGGAAATGGGTTTCACTTTAAGCTTTAACAACTTTTAAAAAACATGACTAACATTTATTTACTAATTATGTGATTTAAATTAATGTTGAATATTTTCTGATGTCATGTGTTACATTGTTGTCAGCATACTAAATGTCATTGTAGCTATAGTTTTTTTTCTTGTTTTTTATTATAATTATTAGAGCCACATCCTTCTCCCTTTTTAAGGTTATTCGAAAAAGGTGAAATTTGTTTATTCTGACTTTTTTTAATGTATGATTAGAATTAAAGTATTTTTGATTAGAATTAAAGTATTTTTGAATTCATTAATGTAGTAGCTTTTATTATTAATAACTTATTTTAATTTTACTTAAATATATTACCAGGAGTGTTGTATATAACATGTTAAATATTTTGTTAAAGGTCTTTGTCGTCTTACAATTCAGCCTACATCTTCTGGGTATTGGACTGTTTGCATGTCTGATCAAGATATTGGCAGGTTGCCTTCTGGGGTAATTAAAATTTATGTATTACATTCAAACAGTTAATTTTATTTTGATATTGTTTCTTTCAATTGTTCTGAGAAATTGCTTGAAAATTAATCTATGTATTAAACACTTTAAGTAAATGTGTGTGAGACTTTTTATATATTTATTATGTCATTCATAAATATACTACTGAGTTAAAATATGTGAGTTTTATACTTAAAGTCTAGCCTTAAAATACTGAAAAAGAAATAACTGTTTTATTTTGATAAGCTATTAGCATTTGTAAAAAAATTCTGACTTCACTTTGTTTTTAATATTTCAAGTGAAATCAATGTATTCATTAAAATTTATTTTTTGAACACTCTTTAAATAGATATTCTATATGCTAAAATAATAATTATTTGATGAAATTTCCAGTGATATTAAAGGACACTAAATTTGCTTGCTGTGAGAGATCAATAATTTTGTCACTAATGTTTCAAAATAGTATGTTAATTCTTCTGCCAGGATGAAAAAAAGTTCACATAAATTTGAAAAGAGTTTTTTACAATAAATACTAAACTAAGTGCTAGCTATTGGAAGATTTTAAGATATAACTTACTTTCTGTTAGGTTGAATGGAAAGTTTTGTTCACGAAAGTGCATACCTTATTTTATATTAATGTTAAGGTTATTTTATGAAAGAAAGTGGTAAGGTATTTGTCCTATAACTCAATTGTTATGCTCTAGCTTACAGAGACACAGGTATATGGCAGAAAAAAGGAATGTGCATACATATTCTCACTTGTATCGAAAGTATCCAGCAGAGCTAAGTGATAACCCCAATGTATACATTTAAGGATAATACCCTACCATTTGTTTTTGAGGCACAGTTTGCATCGTTGTTTAATGAGGTGTGTTCTTTCGCCGACAGAATTTTCCGGTGTACCTAATATAATTTATCGTCAATCCAGGATTCATTACCAGATTCAATTCTTTTGGAATTTTGTGAAAACAATATTAAATTTGTAGATGATTTTGTTAAAAACTAAGATTGTAATCTCAAGTGATACATATTTTTGCAAAAACCACAATTATATATGACTACATGAGCATTTAAATACTAAGAAATAAAAACTAATTTGTCCACTATTTGGTTGTTAAAAAAATTGCATCACCAATTTATTTAAAAGTTTTCCCGGATGATTTTAATTTTTATTTGTCAATTATCCATGTAAAAATGCTCATGTTTTTAAGAGATAAGTTTGATGAACAGTTGAGTTTTTGAAAAGTCTTGTCTTTTTTTTCAGTATTGTGATTTTTGTGAAAGGTTCTATAATAAAATGGTCCTTAAATGGACCTAATTTTTTTCTAGATCATCCCCAATTATTGATTCATGTGGTCATGTGTGAAAACTTATCTGTATTTGTTCTGTTGTGTTTTAAGAGACATTTTCTTTACTATCTTAATTTATTTATTATTCTTATTTATTCTGTGAATACGTAAGATTACATTTTGAAGTACTTTTTAGAAAGCGTGTGACTTTTTAAAAGTAACAGCTTTGTCTTTAAAAAATCTAGTACACTTCCAAATATTGAAAAANTTAATTTATTTATTATTCTTATTTATTCTGTGAATACGTAAGATTATTTTTTAAAGTACTTTTTAGAAAGTGTGTGACTTTTAAAAAGTAACGGCTTTGTCTTTAAAAAATCTAATAACAAGTAGTTAAGAAATGTTAGAATTAAATTGTAATTTAATTTCTAGGCTCGTAGTCCAAGTTTACACAGTCATGTTGATAATAGAAGCAGCTGGAAAAACCAAGAAGCAGAAGTAGTTACAATCCGCTTACAGAAAAGTAATAATGGCATCGGTCTGAACATTATTGCTGCTGGGGTAAACATTTAATTTCTTTCCTTGTTAAAAAAAAATTGTTTAATTTATCAAAACAAAAACAAAAGAATTTTTAGTTTTGAAATATCTTTGCATTTTTTAAATTCAATCATTCATTTAAAACTTATATTAAAAATATTATTTTTAACTAAAATGTAAATTTTTAATTGCAGTATTAATAATATTGTAATTTTTAAAATATTCCTAACATTTTCCCTAGGAGCAGAATTATGTTGAACATTTTATGTCAAGATTTGAGAATCACACTAATAAAATTATTACTACTCTTTTTTTGTNAAAATGTAAATTTTTAATTGCAGTATTAATAATATTGTAATTTTTAAAATATTCCTAACATTTTCCCTAGGAGCAGAATTATGCTGAACATTTTATGTCAAGACTTGAGAATCACACTAATAAAATTATTACTACTATTTTTTTAGTGACAAATAATATTGTTTTGCAAACTAAATTTGTAGGATAAAGAAGCCTTAATTAGAAATACCAAATTATGTATAATTGTTTACGTAACAGAACAAAACTTGATAACAGCATATAAAATTTTCTTCGATTTTAGAGTTGCTTATTCTGAGTGGTTAGTAACAGTTCTGCTCCATTAATTAATTGTTCTGCTTGGATTTCCTCATACGTTGCAGTTCTGAGCATTAAGCATTTCTTATTATTCTCTTATAATTTACAATTTTTGTAACTGTTTAGTTTTAATTATTTATTAATATTTCTTAAAAGCTTAAAAAGTTGATTAAAATGTATCCTGTAAATATATTTTAAAATATATTAAGGTGACATTTACAGAATAAATGTTTAATAAAATAAAATTTTATATTTTATAATTAATATAATAAATATAATAAAATATAATTATTTTATAATAAATGTAATTAACATTGCATCCGAAGCATTATTGTTTTAGGATATGCCGTAATAATTCAAGTTAAATACCAAGAAATATAAATGTCTACAGCATTCTAGCCTTGTTAAATTTATATGTTTTTAAAATTTACATATGTTGAAACATACACATACTAAGAAATGATGTATGATACTTATTCTTATAAGCTCCCTCTGACGCTGACAAGCTCGTAATCTACATAAAATCTGTTGTAACAGGCGGTGCTGCTGACCTAGTAAGTGGTTATAATTGAAGTAATTGTGCTGAAACTAAGAATGGCTTAGAAATAATTGAATTGTAAATGATGACTTAAAAATCCCCTCCCCCCTTACTTAAATATCAGATTTTTTGCTGTAGAAAAATTTGTTTCTTAGGTATGTATAGTGAGTTATTTAAAAGCGTATTTTGTATGAAAGATATAAATCAGGATTCATAATTTTCCTGATGAAAAGTATTTTTTCCTCATTTCTCCTGCTTTTAAGATTTTGTTATTCCTGAATTTTTTTTTTTGTGTTTGCAGAATATACCATTTCTGTAAATACAAATAGGTATATTAAAATAATTTATTTTAAGAATCGAAAGATTTGGATTTTTTTTTATCTTGATTGGTAATGTTAGGTCACAAAATTTGATCGATCAAACTTGGCGACTGTCTACTAATTATAAGCATGATTTAGATAAACAACCTTACTCCCAAGATTCATTGTTTCAAAATTTTTGAGAATTCAGTCATTTTATGTGAAAGGAAACTTAAATATTTCACAAAATCAAATTTTATAGTGATGAGTTCAAGGGAGATATGTTTACTTATTATTTACTGAAATGCGCACTTCCATGGTGGAATTTTGGGCTTTTATAATTATTGATTCATCTGATTTTAAAAATGCTTACTTATTATTTACTGAAATGTTAACCAAGAAATGTAAATTAAACTTAATTAGTTTTATTTTTCTATAACCGTTCCTTTCTTTATTGTTATTTAAAAAATATCTCATTATTTGTCCTGTTTTTTTTTAGGGTGGCTGAATTAATGACACGAACTGGTCCTGTTGTTACCTTAGAAGTTGCTAAACAAGGTGCATTTCTTAATGGTCTGACTGATTTGCTAACTAAACCTTCACCTACAATTCAAAGAGGTATTTATATTCTAAAAATTTCTTATAATATAAAACTTTGATTGTTAGATTCTTTGTTCTGTTTTAAACCCATTTTTTTACTGCTCTTAAAAAAGCGAAGAAATATTGAGTTTGTATTAGTTGTTCGACTTGATTGAGTTGTTGATATTGAATCATGTTGGATTCAATTTCAATTTATTCATTGCTCTTAATCGATTGCGCAACATTAATGTCTAGTAAATCAATTGGAATTGGTAAACATGTAAGGCTTGAGATTGAAGATTTAAACGATAACAAATCATGTAATTTAATTAATAAAAAAATATTATTTAGAAATGTTTCTATTGAAATAATATTTTTACAGTCGGACTTCTATTTAACGAAATTCCATTTTCCGAATTTCTTCATTTTGCGAATTTTTTCGAGGAACCAAGAACATTTTGGAAATTCTTAAAAAAAACTTCCGTAAAAATAACTCGTAAATAATTCGTAAAATAACTTCCAAATAGCGAAGTGAATTTTCTATTTAACGAACTTTTCTTTGAGGTCCGCTTTCCCTATTTGCCAAAATATTTCAGAACATTTCAAACTAGTTAACGCATTTTATGAGGGAAATGACCTTGAATTGTTATTCGAAGCCACTTCACTTTTAGAGAAAGCAGTGAAATCCCTTTACCCTTTTGTTTGCATTTCAAAGGAAAAACTCGATAAAATTAACGAATTTTATCAGTAGCAATTAAACTTATGAACGCGTGCGGTAATGTATGTTTTAAATTACTACTATAATAAATGTAGCTATAATTTTATACATAAATTTAGCTTTTTTTAGTTGAAAATGTATGCAGCATGATAGTGTAACACTGGATAATGTTTTACTCTATTCTTGCTTTTCATGCAGATTTCTTTTATGGTTAAGATTTATGAGAAAATAAATGGTAGATACTAGTTTACTAGATAAAGGTGTATCAATTACCATTTTAATCATGTCTAGTGTTTATGAATTTAAAACCTGTTTTGCGTCGTTTAAGTATTTCAAAAGGTGATTTTCTATTTAACGAATTTTCCATATAACGAACTTATTATCGGGATTTAGCGACTTCGTCAAATAGAGGTCCGACTGTATTTAAAAATTAACACAAAATTGTTTTGATGACCTTAGTTCATAATTTATTTAAATACTTTGATTTAGCATTTTTAAGCATTTCTGACATTCTGCTAATAAATAATTCCTTTATAAAACAAAAAATCTCATTTTCCTGTGCTTTTTAAAAAAATTCTATTAAAATAAATTTAACTGAAATAAATGCTATAAAAAAGTGGCTAGAATAAATGCTCTGAGAAAATTTAAACAATTGTAACTCAGCAGTTTTTCAGTTTTTTCATTTTAAAAATTAAACTTACTACTATCAGGTTTCAAATTTTTTATTGCACTCACATTTCATGAGTAACACCACATCTAACAAAATGTTAACCTTTTTAATAAAAATAATTATGTCAAATAAGAGATATTATTTTGCTCAACTTGTGTATTTATGTATAGAAACTCATATTTGTTCCTAAATTTAAAAAAAGAAAAATTCCACTTTTAATCTTGAATTCTGGTGACTTCACTAATAAGTTAAAATTTACCAATCTCTCTATTCTACTTTTTTTTTTGTCATTTGATGTTTTATTTACATTTTCTTTTTTTCAAAACTCTGGAAAATAAAAGTATTTCATAGTTCCAATAACTTTTTTATTTTATTCGAAAAAATATCAAATTTTTTAATCATTTTCTGTATCTAGTGTTCTTGAATTTTCTAAATTTTTTTTAACTTTCTTGTTCTTGACTAAATTTTGGTTATTTTATACTGTAACTACTTTTTCTTTAACCTAATCATCTGCTGTCTTGTTTCTAACCTTTCATTGCTGGACATCATTCATATGCAACGAGAACGAGCATTCAGAGCCCCTCCAAGTGGTTGCGAGAACCAAAACTCTGGAAATTTAAATAACTATCTTGTTCCTCCTAAACTAACACGAAGTTGTTATTTTAACTATAATAAAAACACATCTTCCACAAACAATGAACTATTACCCACCTTAAAACGAAGAGATCAGGTCTTAAAAGAATATCCATTTAAGAATGCAAGGCTTCGTCCACCAGGCGTACAGTCCAAATTTTCAGTGTGGCCTTATAAACGAGCTTTGTTCAAACCTAAAAGTGAAGATTCTCTACTCAATTTCCGCCATAATTGTTAATGTCCATATTGCCAATCCCACTTGGATCGAGAGCATGTGCCATCAAAAATGTCTAGAAGCATATTATATCAAATCGAGGATTATGAAACTGATTGTCCTATATGTATATTTAAAAGGCAACAGCATATGCCTAAAGAAAATGTAACTCTTAACTATTTTTGTATTGTATGCAAATCAAAAGCAACTTCCAATTGTCTGTCTTTAGAAAATCTATCATCACAACAGTTTTGCCACAAAGTCGTTGATAAGAATGGCAATTACACATATGATAGTTTTACCAATCATTCAAAAAATATGCATTTTTGTAACAGTCATGGAGATTTTAAACATATTAATAAAAAATTGGCTAAGGAGATTTTTTCATTGTTGCCATATCATCGTTCATCTAAATGTAGTAGTACTGAGACTCTGTACAGCTTTGGAAATTGTCTTAAACCATGCCCTCAAACTTGTCACAGTTATATAAAATTTTCTTCTCTTTTTAGTCCTTTGATGACGTTTTTCAGTCCTTATGGTTTGTTTTTATTGGTTTTATTTTTTCAGTTTTCATTTTGTTTCCTTTCTAAAATGCATTTTTATTTAGTTTGCGTTTTAAACTCATTTTGCATGACTTTGTCAAGTTTCATTTTCATCAATTCACAACCTGTTTGATTTTGGTAGTAAGCAATATTTTAGTCCCTCTATCAATTGTTTTATGTCCTTCCAGATTGTATTGTGTTCAATTTTAATTTAGTTCGCCTTTTTAGCATATTATGCATGATTTTTGTGAATTTTCATTATCATTTCCCAATTGTTTGTTTCATATTATTTTTATCCACTTATAGTTTTTGTTAAAATGTAAACATTTTAGCCTTGCTGTCAATTTTTTTTATATTCTTTTGACGCATGTTTTCATATTTTTAAAGTTTATATCCATTAAAACCTAATTGGTGTTTTTAAATTGTTCTTAATGTTACATTTGTATAATTTCTGCTACCGTAAGCATGAGATTAGGGCTAATTTGAATAGTATCCATTCAGTTACATGATCGGTTTGAATTAAGTTAAATAATAAAAAAAAATGGTATCTAAATTTAGATCTTAACGAATGCTTATTTAATATTATTTCTTAGCACAACAAGGAAAAGAATAAGTTCTTACACTATTAAATGAAATGATCAATTAATTTTTATCATGTTCAAAAAAATTAAACTTAGAACTAATTATCTTCCTTAAAAAAAATTTTTTTTTTCAAAAAAAGAATTGTGTCTTATAACGAATGCTTATAAAATATTATTTCTTGGCACAACAAGGAAAAGAATAAGCTCTTACACTATTAAATGAATTGATCCATTAATTTTTATCATGTTCAAGAAAATTAAACTTAGAACTAATTCTCTTTTTTTTTTTTTTTTAATTTTTTTTTCAAAAAAAGAATTGTTTCTTAATAGAGAATTAAGAATCTGTACTTTCGCATTGAAACTTTTTATAAAACTCTCTCGGTTATTGGTTATGATGTAGATTTTTTTTCAATATATATATAATTAAATTAAATATAATTTCAATGTTAAAATCAGCTAGTTTTAGATACAATCACTGTAATATTAAATAGTTAAGAAGGAATCAAAGATAGTAGGAGTTTAAATAGCGGTTGAATTAAGTTTACTTTGTTATGGTTAATTCGAAATTTACTTGCTTACAGGGCCTCGCAGAATGAGTGAGCGAGATATTCCATCGAGGGTTATGAATGAAAATGGTCATGATGGGAGAATACCTCCAGGATCTAACCACCTGTTGCCTCCTCGAATGCTGAGCAGTAAAAGTGTTCCTTCTTTAAATAGTAAGGATTCTGACATTTTATTATCAATGTAATCCCTATCAATGCTTAAAGTGCCAATTTCTTAAAAAAATATTAGGATCTTAGAAGATAGTTATTATTTCTATAATAATTGTGTAGACATTTAATAATGAAAACTCATACCTTTTGTCAAGATACTGAATATTTTTTTAGTTTTAAATTTAAAACACAATTCTAAACTTCTTCCCTTTTCCTGATGCTAATTTTTAGTATGCAAGCAGGGTGCGTAGCATTTTTAAAAAATGCTTATATTTGATTTGCATTTTTTAAAAGCCCTTAAAGGTGCTTATTTTATTCGGGGTTCGTAAAAAGTGCCTAATTTTCTATCTTTTAATAAGAGATTTTTTCTTTACCGTGTCGATTGTTCTAAATTACAAAAATGCAAGGTTTTCACAACTTTGCAATATTTATCAGAAACTAGTTATTTCATCACGATTATGTGAAGTTTGTGAAAATGTTTTTGAATTTTATTCATTCTATGCTCATAAATTAAGAACTTTAAACGATAAAAAAAATTATTACTGCACAGATCCTAATTATGAATTTTTTTTTAGAAAGTGCTTAAAAAAAGTACTTAAAAGGTGCTTATTTTTTGTTGAAAAATCTGGCTACGCACTGTAACGTGACAGTGTGACAACTGAGCTAAAAGCATCAATTCCTCGAGAGGTAATGCTAAAATGATGTTGCTTGAGAGACACACACGAGAAGTGATGTTCTTTTTTTGTGTAGTTGAAAAGAGAGTTTTTTTCTAAGAAGAGATATTTCTTTGGGTAATATTTTGTGATTGTTCGTGTGAATGTTTAAATAAATTATTTTGTACAACTCACGTCTTATTTCTGGTTGTTGTGACACAACAGCACCCTTTGAGTATTATATGATTATTAGTGAAAAGTGTGCATTATCTTTTTCTCTCTCATTAATCTGAAGTTGAGTATCAAATTTTAATTCATATATTCATAACAAAGATTCATCAACTATCAAAGAACCCAAGAGAAAGTTACTACCCAAATAAAGAAACTGAAGAAGAACAAATAATTTGAATCTTATTCCAAGCAGCTTTAGCAATTCATATAATACTTGACCCTGTGTAAAGTATTATATGAATATTAGTGAAAAGTGCGTTTTATCTTTTTTTCTCTCTCACTAATCTGAAGTAGAGTATAAAATTTTAGAATATCCAACAGTCGCAGGCTCCAATGCATACACCCTCTCAACTGTCATCGTTACCGCCACCTGCAAGTTTTCGCAAAACGAGTGACATGGTGCATTATCCAAAAAAAGAATCACTTTTCTGCCTTGATTTGTAATTTCATTGTCAAAACAAATCAACCAATCTTTAAATATTTCCATGGTCATCCATGCCTTCTTATTATGATGATATTTTACTCCCATTTGTGATAAATCTTTACCTTTAAAACAACGAGGTTTCTTGGAGTGCCAAATGAAGATGGGCTTTTCCTTTTCATTAGCAACATTAGCACAAAAACACACAGTGAGCCTCTGTTTAGATTGTTTTCCTCCCTTGGCCTCTTCTGCTTTCTCAACTAACTTTTGGTAGGTAAGGCACGGAAAAAAAGTCCTGTCTCATCTAAGTTATAAACATCACGATCTTCATAGCCTGCCAGAATGATTGGAAGCCTTGATTTCCAGTCTTGACACAAATCTTTATCAACATTAGCTGATTCACAGCGTAATGTTTTAAAAACAATATTGTTTCGATTACAAAACTTATTTAACCATCCGTTGCTTGCACGGAAGTCTTCTACACAAAGTGATTCTGCAATCTGAATGGCATTTTCTTTCACTGAAATGCCAGTTAATGGGACGTTTTTAGTCCTAGCACATCTGAACCACTGAATTACAGCTTCATTTATATCACAGAACTTTTCATTTCTCTTTATCCCACGATTTTTAAAATCTTCACATTCTTTCAGTAAGCTCTCTTTGTTTTTAACAACATTTTTTATTTGATTCTTGCTGCAATTAAACTGTGAAGCCAAGTTTCTTGTAGATGTTCCTCGATCATGATAATTAAGAACTTTGATTTTGTCACTCAAATCCAAATGTAATCTTTTACTTGGTTTAGGTGCCATGATTTTTAATTTTACTTGTGCCTGAAGCATAAAATTTCTAGTGTAAAAAACTATGCTTCAATATGCCTTCACACAGAGGACTCTAGATTCAGTTTCTAGTTTCTGAGTAAATGAGGAGTTAACCGGCGCGACGGATGATGCCGTATTCAAGGTGTTTCTTTCGCTCATCATGAAGTTTGGCTGCCATTTAGTTACCCAGTGAGGGGTATCCAGGGGGCACCACGTGGAGGCGGCAGGCATTACCCCCCTTTAACATTATACATCGAACTGCAACCTGAATAGATGTCTGTAACCTGGGTGGGTACCTGTCACAAACCTGTGGCGGGTGTATTTTAAATCCTTCAATTCAATTTGTTTTAAACAAAAAAATCTTTTTTATGAACATAAAAATATTTTTTCACTAACCTGAACAAATGTCTGAATCAAAAGTAAATATTTTTTGAGGGGTAAAATGTGTTTTCCTTTCTAAAAAATGCTTATCCCACGCTTCTGCCAATCTGATTTCATAAGAAACTGAAAAAAACCATATTATGTGTCGCAAACAAAATTTTCTTAAACCATGATTGAACAATGAATGTAGACAAGCACATTAAACCCTCAAAGTAAAGCATAGAATTCCGTCGTCGAAAACTCAATAGATTTTAAGAAAAGCACGAGCTGTTGCTTGAAAAGTACGATGGCAGATCCAAAGAAACTTCTGAATTCAGAGTGTTAACAAAATACCTTAAAAAAACTATTTACAGAAATTAGGAGAAAAATCCGAATATTATATGGCCATTATTAGCACTCATTCTTTTCCAAATCTTAAAACCATACTTAATAATTTTTATATGTACTTCTCAACAGGATAGCTAATACTGAAATAAACTCGAGTAGGCTCTAGTATGGGCATATCTTATCGCATTTTCTGCCGAACCATCTGCGTACACATTATGTAATTACTGTCCCCCTAAGACTATCAATTCATGCCGAAATTTGCTTGGCATAGCTCGAAGGGGTAGTAGTTAATTATTGAATTATAAATATGCAAT